AGAGGCAGGACCTGGCTCTGGTGGGGCCTCCCGCAGCAGCCCCACTGCCAGCCCGCTCCCAAACATCTCTTGTGTTGAGCCGGGCTGCCCTGACGGCGATGCCTCGGCAGGCTGCTGAAACCTGGAACGTCTCTTCTGCGAAGCTCTGCTGTGCTCAGGGAGCCACTTGCTCTGGAGCCAGAGGCAATTTTTGTGGTGGGTTGGGCTGGGGCCAAGGACCACTCAATAGATAAGTCTGTAACCTTGAACTTGGCACAGTATTCCTCAGGCCGGAGAGCAGTGGCCTGGTGTCAGCAAGCAGGTACAGCGTACTCCGGGATTCCTGGTGTTTTCCATGGTTTAATGCGCTCCTGGGGAGCATTGCCTTGCTGAAAGCTGCAGGAGATGCAAACCTGCGGACTGGTGAGCGTCTTCTGCCACTCCACGCAATGTTCTCATCAACAAAGAGGCCAGAAACAGTTCTGCTACAGACAACAGTGGCTCATGCTGGTGTGCGTTTTCTATTAAGGATGCTCCCTAGTTTTGAAGGGCACATCTATGCTGCAGCTCCCTGCTCCGGTGTTAATCTGCTGGCTGCCCACACTGCTTGAGAGCGAAGTTTCTTCTGTGTCTCCATTTGGAAGGACATAGCTGGTTTCCTCCAAGATGAACCCCGTGAGCAGTTCAGACAATACCTCCCTCCATGGGCTGTGTCGTGCGGGCAGCATCGCTCCAGACGTTCTCTACACCTCTCCAACATGACCTCAGCAGACTTGACACCCCAAATCGGTCAGCCGCCCTCACACCACAGTGCACCACATGTAACAAAGCTTCCTGAGCCACATGGTACAAAACCACTGTCCTGGAAAGCTGCAGAGTGGCCTCAAATTATTCATTTCATTGTTATTAACGGAACAATCGCAGGAAGGAGTTAGATCTTAGGGTGCAGGAACTCAAGCTCTACTAGTAAACCACACGGATAAAGGTGAAGTCTCCAGCACAAGCACATCCATCCAGATGCCCAATTTTAGCGTGCTCCCTGTCGGAGTTTCAGCCTGGAACCGAAGGCTCGCTCCGTGGGCAGACATAGCACAGACACAGCCAACCCCTGCAAGGTACTTCCCTCCGCCCGCCAGCACTATCATTACCTCCAAGTTCCCTATTACACAAAGGAGTTTTTGAAGAAAAAGTCAATTTGGCCATGCAATCTGGGCTCTCTGGCATGGATATTTTTGAAGCTCCCCAGGAGCTATGGGAGTTGCGCTCCTCCAGCACTCTGCTTGGAGTCATGGTCCAGGCACAGTCCCATGACCTTTGGGGTACACGTGGCACATCATTTAACAACCTCAACTGGAAATCACACTGATCCTCTCCTGACAAGTGGGACAAACCCAGCACTTTCGAAGTCTTTCAGAAGCCACCTCACACTGAAAATTTTCTATTACAAGTTGCTAACCCTTAGCTTTAGCAGCCTCTGTCTTGAGGATTTTGCATTTACCAGCAGGGCTTAGCAGCTCGCTAACAAACGTTCTGTACCCCTACATGCCAGGCAGCGAGGGGCCCGTAGTTCACCCCACTGCTGGGGAAGGGCTTCATCTCCCCCCTGTCACGGGACGGGCTCCCCAGGGACAACGAAGAGGTGGTTTGCAGATCGGGGAGGCACCCTCTGGTTTTCTTCTCATTGGCCTTTCGCTTTCAGTGATTTGTCCAGCTGAAATTCTTCACCAGGCTCAGTGACAGCATGATTTCTCTCCAGCAACTGCTGCCTGCTGCGGGCAGGACGTACCGAGCCACGAGGCCGGGGCAGCACCATCTCCCACCAGCCCATCAGCTGACCTCCGTCCAGCATTGCCCAGTATGGGCTGCCGCAGCCAGGGGATTTTGTTGTTGTTCTTTAGCTGCCCACAGCCATGGTCCAGGAAACTGCCTGATGGGGACCAACTGCATCATCTCTCACAATGCACCTGCAAAGAGGAAAGCTCAGAATAGCCTCCTGGATGCGTTTTCCCGTGCTCTCTCCTCTTGCAGGAGTCCGATAGCCCTCCATGCGCCTGTGCAGAGGGCTGCGAACCACATAGCTGGTACCGTCAGCCCCCCCCGTGGCACGGAGCCCTTCTCAGACTTTCATTTTGGTGAAATACGGGCATGTCCAGGCCTCCCTTCAGTGATTTTATAGGCTCTAGGGAAAGGGCTCCTGCTGCGTGACCATGCTTTGCTACTCCAGGGCAGGCTGCACCCAGCTGGGCTCCTGCCCTGGGAGATGGTGTGTGGTGGGGCTGGATGCTCCAGGGTTTGCTCGGAGCTTGGGTCCCAGCTCTCCTCCTGACTCACCAGGCAGCCCTGGAAAATCAGCTGTATTTTGGGCCCTTCATTTCCTCTTCCTGTAAAGGAATAGAAGTACCTAAAGGGTACACGTTAATACATCTTAAAGTCTTTTGGAGAAACTCAGAGGGTCAAAAATAAAGGTACTGGCCAGGATATGTGGTGCCTTGGTCGCACTGTCTGCTTGGGGTACTCTGGAAACAGCCTTTCTAGCGCAGCACCCGCAGCAGCTCAGAGGCTGTGGTGGGACTCTTCACTGCCCCTTCCCTGACATGCAAGACCTCAGTCCTAGAGATGCTGGGGTGGGGGAAAGAAACTGGAAAATCAGAAACGGTCGGTGCGTCTCAGGCCTCCTGTACGGCGGGGTGAGCGGGAGGCAGCCTCGCGTGGGCAGCTTGCGTTAACTTGGGCAAAGCGCTGCTCCGGTAGCGCAGCTCCAGCTGGGGCCGCAGGGCACTCCCTTCTGACTGGCCTTACTGTCAGAAACGCGTGTGAATCGCATGGAAGTAACCGAGCATACCAGGTATGTGGTAGCTTGAAACAGGGCGACCTCTCCTCCCTCCAGCTGCCCCCTCCTCTCCCTGCTCACCTGATCCAAACCCCCTTCCACTCCAACATCCACTTGCCGATAAATCGCTGTGAGTGAGGAGTGACCCCATGCCCCGCTGAGTGGCTGCCGCCAATGCACCTCGAAGGGTCTCTCCACGCTTCTCACCACCTCTGCCACCACAGGGATCCTCCCGAGACAGGCGCAGGCGCCCTGTGGCACAGCCCTCCCGTGGGAGCACGTGTCCGGGTCACTGGGCTGTGTGCTGGGTGAGGATGTCGGATTTGCCTGCGATGAGGCTCTGCTGAGCACAGGCTCTGCGTAGAGGACGGTCTGGGTCAGCTCTGGCGCGCTGTCAATGTCAGCTGCTTTCGGGACCAGCTCTGAGCGAACCTGTGGAAGGGGCTCTTCTGCAGCTGAACGTCTTTTCTTCTTTGCCAGAATCTGGGTGTGCAGGATGCAGCGCGGCAGGAAGGGTGCAACCCGCAGCAGTGCAGGGAGCAACCCAGCAAAGCACAGAGGTGTCTGAGCAACACCAAGGTCAGCGTGATGGCTGAGGCCCATGTGCTTGCATGGAGGAGGAGGACAGCAAGCCACCTCCTCTCCTGTCGCCTGTCCACTCATCTCAGAGCCTCTGCGGGACGGGGCAGCCTGGACCAGGGCCTGGTGAGGCCATAAACAGTCTGGCCAGGCAGGCTCAGCAGCTTGGTGATACAGCTGTCAGCGATGGCAATCGGAGAAGGCATCTTTTCAGCACAGACCCAACCCCTGGTGAACATGTCACAGCGCGGACAGCTCTAGGCCTTGCACGGCCACGCCAGAGGCAGTGGGAGGCTTTATCAGAATATCCTGCAGTGGGAAGGGAAGGTTTTCTTGAGCTACAGGCGAATGCAAGGGCAGGGAATTGAGGGGCAGAATAAAAGAGCAAAGGATCTGGAAGGAAGCCCAAGTGGCGCCAACAAACTCTCGTGGGACCTGCAGAGCGGGTGTGAGAGAGGGAGCAGGGTGGGTATCGGACAGCAAGGGTCAGCTGGTGGCCCGGCCAGCGCTGGCAAAGGGATGTGCGCCAGGGCAGCTACACTGAAACGGGCCCGTGCGGCTCGTGCCCCCAGCAGGTCCCCGCGCTGGGCCTCGCGTGGGAGATGACACCACGGGCGAGCAGCGGGACTGCTAGCAGAGAGCTCGGCGCTGGCGTGGCTCGTGCTGCAGGCTCAAACGCGCCTCGCAGGGACGGAAGGGAAGGCACCGTGCAGCACCGCGGCTGCTCCTGGGCTGTGCTGCTGGCAACCCCCTTCTCCCACGAGTGGTGGTCCTGGGGCGGACTCAAGCAGTGTGGATCGAGATGAGATGGGGTGGGAAGACATGACCGGGCTGTGGATCTTCCTGCTGGGGTTTTCTATGCTCATTTTCAGCACAAGGCCAGGCTGGGGAGCCCTTCTCTTGTGCTGAACGAATCAGCACATAGCAACAAGGGCGTTAAACGCCGTATCGCCGTCTCCCCACTGATGACACTCCTCCTCTTCGCTGGCTGCAGAGGAAATTTTAATCAGCACCGTGATAACAGCCTTTCAGCCCTGCTGGGAGTTATCAGCTCCTTTGTTTGTAAATGTAACTGCTCAATACCAATACGGCTCTGGGTTCCGGCACACGCTGGCTCCACAGCCCTTTGGCTGAAGCAGCCTCCCTCCCCTCCAGCCGGCTGCTCCCAGCTATCGGGGTTTCGGGGTGTTAAAAAAGGGCCAGGCTGTGCTGAACACAAGGATCAAGCCCGAGCTGTTTCCTTCTGCCTCTGCTGTCACTGGGAGAGAGACCTCTGAATTTCAAGCTGGTTGAAGCTTGAAAGAGTATCTGATGAGTATCAGAGCCTGGTAATTTAGCCCTCTGCAGAGTACAGGCAATATATTCATAATCATTTTGCACGCAGATGAGCTAGTAACGCAATCAGGGTTATAAATCAAACCCAGGAGACTTGTTAGTGCTGTTTGCCTGAGCTTTGTGAGCGATCTATCTACAAGAAAATGTCTGTCTGTCTCCTAGATGGGGCCAATTAGCCTTATAAAGGTGCACTCTCCTCTCACAGCGGCTCATTTGTTTACTCGGGCTCTGCCGACTGCTGCTATTTTCATTCTGGAAGAGGGGGCCAGGTCGGTTAGAGATTTGGCAGAGGCCCAGGCTGCAGGGGAAGGGAAACTGGGCTCAGGAGAGATGGTACCTTCGTCAGCGGCACGTTAGAGGAGGTTGGGGTTTAATGACTGGCTTCCCGGTGTGACTTCATAGCTATCCCCAGGCTTCAGAGAGCGTCCTCGCACACCCATAACGCAGCCGCCTTCTTTTGTCCTCCTTTGATCGAGCAGTGGGAGACAGCTGGAGCTCTGCGAATCCCAGTGACAGCCATGTCCCCACTGCAGGTGGGTGGCTGCGGCGTGCCCTCTGCTGATGGGTGCCAGCCGTGCAGCCCTGCTGGCCCGGGTCCCAGCGCCAGCAATGCAGGGTCCCCAGTGCCAGCAGTGCAGGATCCCAGTGCCAGCAGTGCAGGATCCCAGCACCAGCAATGCAGTGTCCTAGTGCCGGCAGCGCAGTGTCCCAGCACCAGCAATGCAGTGTCCCAGTGCCAGCAGTGCAGGATCCCAGTGCCAGCAATGCAGGGTCCCCAGTGCCAGCAGTGCAGGATCCCAGTGCCAGCAGTGCAAGCCCGCAGTGCCAGTGGGCAGGGTGTGCAGTGGCAGCCATTTGGGGTCTGCAGTGGCACTGATGTGGGCTCTCTGATGCTGGCAACGCAGGGCGCACAACGCCAGCAGCGCAGGGCCCACGGTGCCAGTGATGTGGGGTCTGAGGTGCCAGCAGCGCGGGTCTGTGCTGGCAGTGGTGCAGTGTCTGAGGTGCCAGCAACACAGGCTGCAAAGTGCCAGGGATGCAGGATCCAGGCATGAATTCCCTGCAGCCAGGTCTCATGGTGCAGCACCTGGGCTGGCCATGCTGGGTCTCAGCCCCGCCGTGGGGTCTGGGCACGTGCGTCCCCACACTGTCCCCTGGCAGTATCTGCTTCTGCCCTTCCCAGAGCCTGGAGCAGCCAGGAGCTGAGCTGCACGGGGATGCTTCTCCAGTACCCAACAGGAAGGAAGCCATTACCTACCTACACAGGGGGGTCTGAAGCTGATGTCCAGCCCCGCACTCCGCTACCTTGTTTGGACATGAAGCCCAGACAAGGGTGAGGCTTGCGTGTGGGCACAGGAGCATGTCCCACGCTCTGGCAGCTTGAGGGGTAGCAGGACTGCACCAGCGCTTGGTGGGACTGCGAGGGCTGATGACAGCACCCAACAGAGCGGGTCTGCTTTGCTTCCTTCTGGCTTGGCCACGTCCTGCCCCACACCATGTGGGCATGTCGGTATGCGGGGAGTAGGATGGGGCCTGCTTCAACTGAGCAGGATTTGGGGTGGTGCAAGGATGCCAGGCAGACCTGGGAGCAAAGGGACGCGGCTGGAGCAGGGCTGGCATGGAGTGGAGGTCATAGAATCATACAATCATTAAGGCTGGAAAAGACCTCAAAGATCATCAAGTCCAACCGCCAACCCATCACCACCATGCCTGATAAACCATGTCCCCAAGTGCCACATCTACGTGTTTTTTGAACACCTCCCGGGATGGTGACTCCACCACTTCCCTGGGCAGCCTGGTCCAATGCTTTACAACTCTTTCAGAAAAGAAATTTTTCCTAATATCCAATCTAAACTTCCCCTGACGCAACTTGAGGCCATTGCCTCTCGTCCTATCGATGCCAGTGCTGACATCAGCAGGTGGTGTGGTCCATGCATCCCCAGCACCAAACCCTCTGAGCTGCTCAGGCCTCAGGGCTGCGATTTGGCCCAGGGACTGGCCATTTGCCGTGGAAACCCATTGGACCTTGCAGCACCAGGGGCCAGGGTGAAAGGCAGTGGGTGACTCGTCTGGGAGCTGCCTCCGGATTCGGTGCGGACAGGCAGCAGCTTGTCCCACCCCAGCCACGTCTTCAGTATCCAGGACCTCAAAACTGGGCTCCAGGCATTCCTTACCCATGGCCTCGACTGTGCCCTGCCCTGTAGTGGGGACACAACTTTTGGGGACCCGAGGGGGGCACTGACAAACACCTCATGTTGCCTCGCACTGGGGGCTCGGGCTCCCCACAGCCAGGCAGATGCTGCTTTTCCTTCATCACCCAGGACATTACAAAACCACGTGCCTGCACCTTCACCATAGCTGGTGTCCCCAGGGGCTGTGGCAGGCAGGGCACGGGCAGGGCTGGGAACAGGAAAGCCACCGCTGGAGACACATCACTGCTCTGACACATTTGTAAGAAGAGGACTTGGAGATTTGCTTATTTTTTCATAGAGATTTTTAATGTTTATTTTTTAACAGACTTGGTTTAAATTTTTGTTTTCTACAATAATTCAATGTAAAAATCCCAGTACAATATACAACAGTTTGACCATCTGGAATAAGAAATCCAGCTTGGGGAGACATGTAAGTTCAGCTAGTTTCTAACACAGGTAGCAGATTCCCTCCACCCTCCCCCAGATTTACCAGCCAGGAAGGCATGTGGACAGGAATGCTTTACAAATGTCCCCCCCACCCCATCAAGACACTGGCTGACCTGTCCCTGCCTGTACTGCAGTGGGACGGTATCCCTCAGACACATCACCTTGGAAAGGGCAGGGTCCCCTCCATGGGATGGCTGGGAGCCTCCAACATTGCAAGACAAAGTCTGCAGTCGAGCAAGGCTGGCCCTTGTGCGTGAATGATGTGGGATGCTCTGAAGAGGCCCTGCACGCAGGTCCCTCAGGGTATGGGGCTCCCTTGGGGTGGAGAGGAGACCTGTCCTCCCCTTGCAAGCAGTGCCAACAGCCTTGTGCCCTAGTGCAGCCATCAGGTCTTCGGAAGGGAATGGCCATGTCCCTGCATGGCCCAGCCTGAGGGAAGGAAAACAAAGATGATGCAAGCGTCCCTGACTCTAGGGTATGAGTGGTCATCTCAGGGATAGCTCACTGGCTTGGGATCTGGCAGTCTTTCAGGAAGACACTTTGGCCTGGCCCATGGTACTCAAGCAGCCTGGGATGGTCCTGCTTGAACAGCCTGGAGTGGTCCTGCTCAAGATACATGGGGTGGTCCTGCTTGAGCAACACGGGAAGGTTCTGCTCAAGCTACATTGAATGATCCTGCTCTAGCAGCCTGGAGAGGTGCTGCTTGAGCAGCATGAGGTGTTGCTGCTCAGGCAGCGTGGGATGGTCCTGCTCAAGCAGCACAGGATAGTTCTGCTGGAGCAGCATTAAGGTGGTCCTGCTCAAGAAACCTGGAGTGATTCTGCCTGAGCAGCACGGACTAGTCCTGCTCAAGCAGTGTGGAATGGTTCTGCTCAAGCAGGCCAATGTGATCTCGCTTAAGATGCACAGGGTGGCCCACTTGAACACTGTGGGTTGGTCCCATTCAGGCAGCATGGGGTGGTCCTGCTCAGGGAGCATAGGATGGTTCTGCTTTGAGTAGCATGGGGTGGTCTTGCTTGAGCACCACGGAGCAGCTGCAAGTGGCAGGGATAGTCCCTCGTGTCCTGCAGCATCCCAAGCACTGCATTCAAAGCCATGTCTGGCCTTTCTTGCCCCTCTTGAAAATCCTCCACTGCTCGGAGAAGTCTCACAAAGATGTGTGTACTTGAAGGGATCCCAGGGGGCTCTGGTCGAGCTCCATGTTCCAAAATAGTTATTGCTAATGCTAAATCAGGACATTGGTGAATTTATCTAGCTGAGTTGTGAAACCTGCCGAGGGCAGAGATCTTCCCATTTCCCCCATTACCTGTTCCAGCTGCACCAGCCCTAGGGAGAAGTGTTTCCTGATGTCCAGCATGAATCTCCCTGCCTGCAAGCTGTGGCCATTACTTCTACTATGAAAGTGTCTTGAGTAGTGGGGAGGCGGTGGAAGGCTGGTTCTCCATCTAACCTAGCCCCACATCCCATTCCCAAGAGTACGGGCCCTTCCTACTTGCATCAGGGATGGCTGTGCTGGTGGTGGCTTTCCTGGGTTAGTAAGGGATGGGATACAAGGCAGGGGAAGGAGGAAGAGAAGGAGAAAATAACAACAGGAGTCAGATGTGCTAGGAGTAGAAGAGTACAGGAAGGATAAAGAGGACAAACGGCAGAGGTCAGGCTGGGAGAAGATGGGAGGTCAGGATGGAGCTGGAAGGTGAAGGAGAATGAAAGGACAGTGAGAGAGGGAGGTCTGAGGTAAGGGGGGATGGCTGGAGGTAAGGGAGGATAGTCAGAGGTCAGGAAGGGATAGAGGGGAAATCTGTGGGGTAGGTGGGACACTTGGAGGCTAAGGAGGGATGGGGAGACGGAGGGAGGTGGAGGAGTATGAGGAGAAACAGGGAGACTGGGAGGCAAATGACAAGGGATGGTGAGATAGCCAGAGGTCAAGTATGAGGAGGGACAGGGCAAGAGGTGAAAGAGCATGAAAAAGTATGGGGAACAATGGGATGTGGAGGTTCACAGGAAGGATAGAGAGACTGAGGTGGAGGAAGAAGAGGTATGAGATGTAGGATGAGGGAGAAGGTATAGGAGATGATGGGAAATGGAGGACAATGAGGTGTGGTCAATGGAAAGTGAAATGAAAAGGGGTTGGAAGAGGATGAGGATGACCGGGCAGATGGTAGGAAGCAGAGGATGAGGAAGAACAGGCAAATAGTGGGCAGTGTTGGGGCATGGGGAAGGATGGGGGACAGTGGGAGGTGGAGGAGGATGAAGAAGGTGGGCAAAATGGAAAAGGAAGACAAGGAGACATGAGATGGCAGGTGGTGGAGGACAAGCAAGGAGGGGGAGATGAAGAAAGAAGAGGAGGGATGAAGAGACAGTGGGAGATGGATGAGGATGACAGGAAGGATGGAGAGATATTTAGGGAGTAGAGGAAGACAAAGACTGGAGGGCAATTGAGAAGGATGGATGAGGAGATGGTGGGAAATGGAGAAGCACAAGGTGGGGATTGGAAATGTGAGAGGGGAGGGGGAGGAGGCAGGATTGGGTGACGTTGGCAACTGGAGGAATGGGGCAATGGTGGGAGGTGAGGGTGGATTTTGGGATGGGGGAAGTGGAGGAGGATGAGGGGGATGAGCAGATAGGAGGAGGTAGAAGAGGATGAAGAGAGATGGGGAGAAGATGAGAAGTGGAGGAGGTTGAGATGGGTTGGGGTGATGGTGGGAGCTAAGGGATAAGAAGATGGTAAGATGTAGAGGAGGACAGAGAGATTGAGAGCTAATGGAGGATGAGAATGGATAGTGAGATGCTGACATAAGGAGAAATATGAAAGGAAAAGAGAAACTGGAGACAAAGCAGGATGAGGATGGATGGGACAGGGTGGAGGTGGAGAAGGAAGAGAAGTCACGAGGAGATGATGAGAGCCGGATGAAGATAACAAGGAAAACAAGGAATGGGATGTGGTGGATGGAGGAGCAGGTGAGAGGGATGGAATGTGAGTGTGTCAGGAAGATAGCAAGGTGGGCTATGAAGGGCAATGGAGGAGCACAGGAAGGCGGGATGGGAGGTGGTTGGTGATAGAGGAGAACAATAGGGAAGGATAGGATGCAATGTAGGACACAGGAGCACAAGAGGGCGGGAGGGAACATGGTGGGTAATGGAGGAGCATGGCATGGCAGAGAGGGATGGGACACAGTGGATGACAGCATACTCTGGAAGGAGGGGTGGGATGTGGAGAGGGTGGAGGAGAAAAGGGAGGGATGGGAGGTGGTGGGTGATGGTGGAGCACAAGAAGGGATAGGACATAATGGAGGATGCAGCAGCACAGGAAGGAGGGACAGGACGTGGTGGCTGATGGAGGAGCACAGAAAGGAAGGATGGGACCTGGTGGGTGATGGAGGATGATGACAGCGAAGGATGGGACACCGTGGGTGACAGGAGCACAAGAAGGAGCAATGAGATGGGTGGACAATGGAGCAGCAGCAGAAGGAGGGGTGGGACAGGAAAGATGGAGGCACACAGGGAAAGGGGTGGGATATGGTGGGTGATGGAGCGTGGGAAGGAGGAATAGGATGGGTAGGTGATTGAGGAGCACAGGAAGCAGGGCTGGGTTGGGTCAGGAGGGTAATGAAAGAGCAGAACAAAGAGGGATGCGACATAGTGGGCAATGGAAGAGCCCATTAAGGAAGAAAGGAATGTGATTGGGGATGTGGGATAACAAGAAGGAAGGATGGTATATGGGGGCTCAAAGAACAGGAATGAAAGGGATGGGACATGAAGGATGATGGAGGAGCAAAAGGAGGTCTGGGTAATGGTGGATGATGAAGGACCTCAGGGAGGGACAGTTTAATATAGTGAGCCTGGAGGAGGCTGGGACCTGCAGGTGATGAGGGGCACAAGGGCAACAAGCCATGGGCAGTGGTGGGAAAGGGGATGCGGGGTCCACGTGCAGGCTGGGGCGGGCTGCTGGGCAGGATGGGATGGCACCAGGGAGGCACAAGAAACACCAGCATCACAAGAACAGTGCAGAGCTGAGAGGAGCCTGGTGTGAAATGACAGCCTTGGCAGTGAGGCCATGGAGGACCCGTGGGTGATGACAAGGAGCCCTGGTGGTGTGGCACAGCTGGGGTCAGCACATGGGGATGGTGTTGGGGAGAGACAGGCGGGTGAGGAGAGGATGGGACACCGGGGACAGAGGGACAGGGTTGAGATGCGTCTCCCCAGCCATGAGTGTCCCGGCCACCCCACA